ATAATGCGTGTGCATCTACACACATACACACAGGATACAAATAATTGGTGTGGGGAGACCTAACCAACACAGTCCATTTCTGACAAGAGGCCGAGCTGAGACACTAACTCGGAGCAGACCAGGTAGCAGCTCTGAGAATTTTATCTGAGATCTAGCTTAGAGGGGAGACCCAAAGAACTGCTCTGAGGGGAAATGCACTGGGCTCTTCCATCAACCATATGGTGGCTCACTACTGAGTGTAGCTCCATTTCCGGGGATCTGATGTCCTCTCCTGGCCTCTCTGGGCACTGCATGCACAAGGTGTACAGACGTACATGCTGGCAAGACACCCATTTTCATAAAACAAAAATAAGCTCAGGGCAGTGGTGGCGTACGCCTTTATTCCCAGCACTCAGGAGGCAGAGGCAGGTGGATCTTTGAGTTTGAGATCAGTTACAGACTGAATTCAGAACAGCCAGAGGTATACAGAAAAAAAGTATCTTGAAAAGGCAAATAAATAAACAAATAAATAAATAAATGAAACAAAAATAAATATTTAAAAAAATCTACTCTGTGCTCTAGTCCTGGGATTCAGGCTTGGTTTATACTCTAGGCAAAAGCTCAGGAACCTAGCTAGGCACAGCATATAAACTAAGTTATGTCCAAGTATGAGCTTAAATGCAGGGTCTCGGCTCATGATCCAGCCTGGTGGTTTGGTCATAACCAAGACTTCCGTCGGGGTTACCAGTACCTCCCACTCCTACCTATTCCCAGGCCAGGCCTCCTCACCAGGATGTAGTCAGCTCCCCAGGCCCTGGCAAAGGTCAGGGCTTCCTGCTTCAGCTCCATCACAAACTGATGCCTTTCTCTGGTCCAGTGCTTGGGGCTCTGTTCATCTGGGTAGGGCCTGAGGAGGCAAAGAGGTGAGGCGTTCTCCTTCTCTGCAGGGCAGTGGACAGCCTGTTCTGGGGACTGGCTGACACTGGTAACAGCTGCTTTCTGTCTTCTCCAGAACCCTTGCCCTCAGGTCACCTGGCCTCTTCCTCAGGCTTCCAGACCACAGCCCCGTAGTCACGGCCCACAGCAGCCAGCCACTCCCGCAGCATCTCTGTGGTGTTGTCCACATTGTGATCTGTGGCACACCTGTGAGCACAGGACAGGAAGACTGAGAGACCACGGCCACCGAAGGGCTGGAGCCCCGAGGTGCACTTGCCTTTGAAGTGCCCTTGGACACCCTCAAGTCTGGTCTGTCTTGAGAGCTACGGAGGAGAGGTATGCTGCAGTGGAGAAACCAGAGATGCTGTGTGACCTCGAGCAAGTTTTGCCCCTCTCTGGGCTTCACGTCCTCCCTTCTAATTTTGGGCCTCTTGCTGGGATTGAACCTAGAGACTTGTATACAGCGAGCACCCCTGATCACTGAGCCACAGCCTCAGTCTGAGTGCACTTGATCTTGACATTGCACCTGCTATGTCCCCTCATTGTCTTCTGTCTTCACAGCACCACAAGCCAGGCCCTTTCCATCTCCGAGTCAGACAAAACAGTTTCTCTGCCCTAAGTGGTGATGAGGGCTACACCACGCTCTGAGCAACCCAGGAAAGTGCTGGAGGCCCGCGCTCTGTTACCATGGAACACAGCTTTCCCTCTGTTGGGGAAGGGGCTCTCATAACAGAGGTGGGACGCCTAGTCAAGAGCCCAGGTTTTAGGCGATACTGCCCCTTTAAGCCAGTTCCCCAGAAGTGAAGACTAACTACGTGTCAAGTCCTACAAGGGTGGGAACTAACTCCCAAACTGTGGGCAGCCTCCCCAGGCCACAGCTCCACCCCAGCCCAACTTTGGTGTGCTGTGAGGGGCAGTTATCTCCAACCTCAGCTTGGGCTCCTCCCTGCTTAGACTTTCATAGGCAGGCTGCTGTAGCCTCTGGGTCCAGCGGCCTATGGGACCACAGCCCCACCAGGAACCCACCAGTCCCTCTACCTGGAGAGAGTGGCAGTACCACTGGGGAGGGGACTCAGCCTGGTGCCCCTGCCCAGCATGCAGCCTGGAGCTGAGGGCTCCCTCCACCTGCTCTCTAGAAAACTCCAGTCTGACCGATCCTTGTTCCGAGGCTCCTGCGTGTTCTACTGACCAAGCTGACCACAGGTCCCCACTGAGATGCAGTGTGAGCTCCAAGGACTGGGTCAGAAAGGACAGGTCTAACCTTAACCCAGGGTAAGCCCGGGATGAGTAGGAGGCCCAAAGGAGGGGTGGATGTCCTTGTGCCCATCCATGGCCTCAGAGGTCTGCCCTTGCCCCTCGACAGATTAGGGACCCCGCTGAAGGGCCTGAGGCCCTGCGGGCAAGTCTGGGAGGGAGGAGCTTGCCCGGGTGGTGTCTGGGCAGGAGCAACGAAGCCTCTCGGTCAAAGGCTGTCCGGGATCCTGGGACTTGATGCCCAAATGTGCCCACCCATGGATCTCTCACCAGAGGGCCATCCTTGCCCGGGGATAGTCCAGGCGCTCCAGTGCGCCCAGGTAGTGGGGCAGAGAGTGTTCGGCATTGCGGGCCAGGATAGCAAGGACCACAGAGGGCAGCGTTGGCTCTGTGACACCCGCAGCCTGGAGCCGGGGTCCCAGCAGAAACAGCAGAGGCAGGAGCGAGGCAATGCTCATGGCGGGACTGGGTGGCTGCAGAGGCCCCCGGTCTCCCACCGCGGCAGGGAGGGGGCGGGACGGGCGGGGCATGGAGGCGGGGTCTTTGAGGGGCGTGGCCACAGCAGTGGGGCCCCTATGCCCCTCGCTGGCGCCTGCAGGCTCCACTATCCTCTTCTCAGCCTGGGCTCTAGATGTCCTGGGCCAGACACCTGTTCCAGACGCGTCCCCGGGACTGCCCTCTCTGTGTGGACCTCAAAAGGCGACGACAAGCAAGGGAGAATCCGGGGACTATGGTGTGCCCGTCGCACCCTGGACGTTCATCTCACTCCTGGAATTCGGGCACCCCGGAATCCTGACTCCCTGACCCTCAGCGGTGGGCCCGTGAGGCTGGCGGCTTCGCGGGGAGCCCCGACTTCCGACCCCTGCTCTGTCTGCGGCGCCCTCTGGCGGCCCCATCGGGGAACTCCACATACCCTCCAGATGACGCGCGACGGGCTGGAGAGCAAGCTCCGGCTTGGGGCGGGGACCGGGTGCGGCTGTTCTGGGCGAGTCCTATCATCACCTTCCACGCTCTGGCCCTTAAAGTAAGCAAAGCCCACTCAGATTGAGTATAGGACTTGGCGAGCACCACAGTACCCCTGATGGTCACTCAGCTCCACTTCAAAATAGGAGATACAGCCTCCTTTAGGATAGGGCGAGTCTTAGGACCCTGTCGGGGTGAAAGGGTCGGGGGTGGGGATAAGGACTCCAAAAGTTCCAGCTGGATATCTGTCACCAACCTTTCCCTGAGTCTCCCCATCCTCACAAGTAAAACCTGATTGATAACACCTAACATGAGGGTCTGCTAGGGGTCCTTGAGAAAGAATGCATTTGAGGATTTCTCTTCCCGCCCCCCCCCCCCCCCCCCCCCCCCGCGAGTCTGAGCCAGGTTGGAAGAGAGACCTCTATATTCACCTTTGCTCCACTTGCATGTCTGCTTCCCAGGGTTCCCCTTCCGCCTGTTCTGACACTAGAGAAGGGAAGGAGCACACGAGGCTGGTGCACACTACCTATACTGACCGGACGGGAAGGAGTAGGTTCAATAAAGAAAGGTTTACCTGGTGATGAACTGCATCCTGGGGGCTGAACCCTGGAGTCTGATCTCTAGCCTAGCTCTGGTGGGCTATTTTCGGGCCAATGGTCCTGCAATGAGAAGGACCCCTCGAAACATCCTGGAGGGAAGCCGGAGTCCTCCTCCCTCTTGCTTGTCAGTCCCTGGCAGAGGTATTCCCAGTCCCCAATGAGGATTCTCCCTAAAGCTGTCCCCATCCTACACATCTAGAGCCTCTGCCCATGTATTAGTGCAGAAGTGATGTGGTCAGAGTGTGCCCCCCACCCCCCACCCCCGCCACCCGCTCAAAGGTGAGATCTAGTCAACAGCGCCATGGGACTAGGAAAAGAGGGGAGACTGGAGAGATGGCTCAGAGGTTAAGAGCAGTGACTGTTCTTTGGTTGCCCTTCCAGAGGTTCTGAGTTCAATTTCCAGCAACTACACAGTGGCTCACAACCATCTATAATAAGATCTGGCGCCCTCTTCTGGTGTGCAGGCACATAATAAATAAATAAATAGGTAGACGGGTCTAAAAAAAAAAATGAGGGGTCAGGCAGTGATGGTGCACACCTTTAATCCCAGGACTCTGGAGGCAGAGACAGGTGGATCTCTGTGAGTTTGAGGCCAGCTTGGCCTACAGAGTGAGCTCCAGGACAGACTCCAAAGCTACAGAGAAATCTTGTCTCAAAAAAGAAGAAGAGGAGAAGAAGGAAGAGGGAAGGGCTGAGACTGGTGGGTCACACTTGCAATTCCAGCACTTAGGAGCCTGAGGCAGGAGGATGGCAAGCCTGGGCTACAGTAAGACCTCATCTCAAAAATAACCAATAAAGGGCTGGAGAGATGGCTCAGAGGTTAAGAGCACTGATTGCTCTTCCAAAGGTCCTGAGTTCAATTCCCAGCAACCACATGGTGGCTCACAACCATCTGTAATGGGGTCTAGTGTCCTCTTCTGGCCTATACACGCAGACAGAATATTGTATACATAATAAATAAATAAATAAATACATTAATTAATTAAAAAAATAACCAATAAAAAATGTGACTTAGCATGGCGGTGGTGGCACATGCCTTTAATCCCAGCACTCGGGAGGCAGAGGCAGGTGGATTTCTGTGAGTTCCAGGCCAGCATGGTCTGCAAGAGCTAGTTCCAGGACAGGCTCCAAAGCCACAGAGAAACTGTGCCTCAAAAAATTTTTTAAAAAAATGTGGCTGAAGGGATGGGGTGGGGGTGAATGGCACATACCTTTAATTATAGCACTTGAAAGACAGAGGCAGGCAGGATGTCTGGGCCACAGAGTGAGTTCCAGGACAGCCAGAATTGCTACATAGAGAAACCCTGTTTTGAAAAACAAACAAAACAAAACAACATCAAAAGTGGGGTTGAAGAAATGGCTCAGCAGTTAAAAGCACTGACTATTTTCACAGAGAACCTGAATTCCCAGCACTCACATGGAGGCTCACAGCCGCTCCAGGTGGTCTGACACCCTCTTCTCGCCTCTACCAAACACTCATATGGTGCATAAGCACACCAGCAGGCAAAATAGTCAAACACATAAACACAGTTTTTTCTTTCTTCTTTCTTTCTTTATTTCTTTCCTTCTTTCTTTCTTTCTTTCTTTCTTTCTTTCTTCCTTTTTTTTCTTCTTCAAGACAGGGTTTCTGTGGCTGTCCTTGAACTTGCTCTATAGATCTCTGGCCTCAAACTCAGACATCTACCTTTCTCTGCTGGGATTAAAGACATGTGCCATCACTGCCTGGTTTTTTTTCCCTCTCTCTTCCAAAAATAAAGAAGACCCGAGAGAAGTCCTCAAACCACAAGGTGCTATCTGTGAGGAACAGGCCTTCACCAGACACCAGATCATCTGGATCTTGTTCTTACATCCCCCCCCCCACGCCCCGCATCTCCAAAACTGTGAGCAAAAACTTCCTTGAGCTAGGAGGCACCGTGGAGCATACCTGCACCTTAGAGCTGGGTAGCCAGAGCGGGAGGATCCTGGCTTCAAAGGCATCCTGCAGCTACAGAGCAAGACCAGCTTGGGTCAGGCATGGTGTCCCATGTTGATAATCCTGACACTAGGCTAGAGATCCTCCTGAACCCCTCAGATCTGGGTTACAGACATGTGCCCCTGTGCCCAATTTTTACCTGAGTTACTCAGGTCCTTATGATGGTTAGGCAGGCGCTTTACCGATGGAGTCACCACCCCACCTACCCCCAAGTCCCCTGTGTTTTGTTTTCCTGAGACAAGCCTGAGTATCAGGATTATAGACATGGGACACCACGCCTGGTCCAAGCTGGTCTTGCTATGTAGTTGCAGGATGCCTTCAAACTCAGGATCCCCCTATGTCTGGCTGCCCAAGGCACTGTAGTGTTCATGTGCACATGTACACACGAATCTGCACATGCACACACACAAATTAAAAATAATAGCTATGTATGCCTTTAATTCCAGCACCCGGGAGACAGAGGCAGGCAGAACTCTGTGAGTTCGAGGCTAGCCTGGTCTACAGAGCGAGTTCCCAGGGCAGTCAGAGTTACACAGCGAAACCCTGTCTCAAACAAACAAACAAAAGACAGAGAAATCAAGGAATACACAAATACATACAGATATCTTTCACACAGAGAAATAGGCAAATACATTGAAAGAAAAGAAAGGAGGAAGTAAAGAAGGAGGAGGAAAGAAGGAAGGCCACTGAGGAAAGTAAACCTGCTCACCGTAATCTAGGCTATATTTTGTCATAATGGCCCAAAGGGACTCAGGAGGAACTTGTGGAGCATCCCAGGCCTAGAGTCTTCTCCAGCACGCTGACAGCTCCAGCTGCTTCCTCCCTCTGCACCCTCCCGGTGCCACCAGCCCTCCAGCCTGTCACTGCTCCTATTCCCCACAACTTTCCCATCACTCCTGCTTAGAAAAGTTCTGGAGTCCAGCTAACTCCTGATCTCCACCCTCATCGAGGCCCCGCCCAGCTCTGCAACCCTGTGTTCCTGTGCTCCTGCCTCTGTCTTCCCTGCTCTATCAAATGCCTTTGACTCCAACCCTGACCAGTGAGCCCCAAGCCATGTTCTGTGGCCCCGGCAACTCTCTTTTACATCCCCCAGAGTTTCCCCTCCTTTCCCCCAAGCCAGCTTCTGTTGTCTTTTACAGTGGAAAAACTTCCCCATCCTCCCAACAGAAGTCCCAACCTCCATACCATCCTTTCCTGTACCCACAACCTCTTCTTCTCCAATCTTCCTTCTAAATTCCAAGCGACTTTCATCTCTCCCAACTTAAAACAAGAGCACAGCAAGATGTCCGCGAGGTCTCTGCAGCCGCCTGGCGTCTCTCCCTCGAGAACGGAGAAACTCTTTCTGTTCACTACTTGACTCACAACAAGGCTACCTAGCACGACCAGCATCCTCCAGCCACTCCCACAAGCAAACTCTTCCTCCTCCAAAGGAGCTGGTCCAAGAGGGGTCAGCAGCTGTCCAGCAGCTGACAGCGAGAGCCACACCATCTTTCTGGACCCCAACCCTACTGCTCCCCACTTATATTCAAACTCCACCTTCCCAAAATAGAACTCCAGTCTTCCACCAAACCTAATAATTTCTCTGCCCCTCCAGGGAAGGGCACCTCCATGTGCTTAGTCCCTGGAAGCTGCCCCTCGAGTGTCTCTGTCCCTGGCTGGCTGTGTCTCCTGCACATGGCCACCCTCCTTCTGCAGCTCATTGGCACCACTCACCCAGACTCACCTCTCAACACCACCACGACCAGGCTTTCTCTCTGGGACTGATCCTGCCCATAGCCCTCTCTAAAATGCCTGCTGGTGTGACAGAGGCTACCTATCACCGCAGCTCTTGGGAGGCAAGAGCAGAGAGCTCTTCAAGGCCAGCCTGCGCTACAATAAATGTAATAAAGTGAAGCAAAATCTTGTCTCAAAATAAACACACAAACAACAGTGCAAGCCTAGAGCTCCACCTTGTCTGGCTCCAGAATAGCTCACAGTTCTGGAAGCTAAAAAGTTCAACACAGTGTCAGATGGCTAGGGCTGCTGAGACAGCTCAGTGGACAAAGGAGCTCACCACAAAGCATAACAACCTAAGTTTGACCCCAGGACCCACACGATGAAAGGGTAGAGCCAAATCCTAAAAGATGTACCTTGACCTCCCATACCTGCATGGGTATACGTGTTCATACACATGATCAATCAATAAATACAATAAAGAATACATTAAAAAAACAAAAACAATGATGGCTAGACAAAGAGTTTGCCTAGCTTCTGCCAGCTCTGTGGAGGCAGAGACAGGTGTATCTCTGTGAGTTCAACTCCGGCCTGGTCTAGTTCCAGGATAGCTAAGGCTACACACACACACACACACACACGCACACACACACACACACACAAATCCAGGGCTATCTGTTATCTGTTGCCATCTTCGGGCTCCAGAGGGCACTCCAAATGATATACAAACATAAAAGTGGGTACAATGCTACATAAAATAAAAATAATTAAATCTAAAAAAAATCATTCTGAATTAGAGATGCTGTCTCGAACCTACAACACTAAAACGTGGGAGTTGAGACAAGAGGATTACTTTGAGTTTGAGGCTAGCCTGGGCTACATAATGAGTTTGAGGAAAGTCTAATAGCCTGGGTTACAGTGTGAAAGAAAGAGAGAATGAGGAAGCTGAGCAGGGAGGTTGACCTGTAACTCAATGGTATAGTGTGTTCATAAGACCCTGGCATCAATCTCCAGTCTGGGGGTGGGCAGATATATCAAGCATGGAGACAACAGGATCAGGAAGGAGTCCATGGCAACATAAGAAGTTCCAAGTCAGCCTAGGCAACATGAGACCTTGTGTTTAAAAAATAAAAAAAGAGGGGCTTGGAGAGACGACTCAGTGGTTAAGAGCACTGGCTGCTCTCTAGAGGTCCTGAGTTCACTTACTCAGCACCCATAAGGTGACTCACAACAACCATCTTGAGTGGGATCTGGTGCCTTCTTCTGGCCTGCAGACACACATGCAGACAGAACACCACATACATAAAACAAACAAACAAACAAATATTTTTTAAAAAAGAAAAGAGAAAAACTAGGCATGGTGACATATACTTGCATGCTTGCAATTCCAGCACTCCAAAAGCAGAGGCGGGAGAATGGTTGCAAGGGTGAAGCCAGCCTAGTACACACAGTGGCACTCTACCAAAGAAGACAAAAACGAGGGCGGAGGAGAAGGCTCAGCAGGTAAAGGTTCATGGTGCAAAGCCTGACACCTGAACTGGATTCCCAGGATCCATATACTCTGAGATCACCAAGTGTCAATCCACCCACTTGCATCTTTTTGGACCCTAAAAATATCATGATATATATTATTTGGGTGATGAGATGTTGAGGCAGGGTCCCATCATATAACTCTGAGTGGCCTGGAACTCACCATGTAGACCAGGCTGGCCTTTAATTCCCAGAGATCCACCTGCTCCTGACACCCAAGTACTGGGATTAAAGGCATGTGTCCATACCCAACTATGATATGTGTTCTCGTTTTGGTTTTTGTTTTTCTAGACAAGGTTTCTCTGTACAACAGCCCTGACTGTCCTGGAACTCACTCTATAGACCAGTCTGTCCTTGAACTCAGAGATCTGCTTGCCTATGTCTCCCAAGTTCTGGGATTAAAGGCAAGTACTACCATGCCCAGCTATGAGATGTATTCTTTAAAGTGGCATGGGCTAAGTTCACAGAGGTTTTGAAGTTACAGTGCTAATCAGCCAAGGTCCTTAGACCAGTATCTTAGGCCTCACCTGTGCAAAGGCCAGCGAGGCAGGACAGCTCATGCTGTAGTCCCAGCAGCCAGGAGGCTTGATGAAGAAAGACTGCCCCAAGTTCAAGGCCAGCCAGGGTTAAGCAGTAAGACCCTGTGTCAGCCATCCATTCTCCTCCCTTCCATCAAATTACAAAAGCTAGGATTTGCGGTGCAGGTCTGTAATCTTAGCCGACTTAAGGCTAAAGCACGAGAACTGGGTGCTTCAGGTCAGCATAGGCTACCTGTCTTCATATCAAGACCCTACCTTATTAGAAAAAAGGAAAAGCAAATATCAACCCCATCCCCATGCCTAGGAAGTCTGAAAGTTTGGGAGTGGAATCAAATGAACTATTTCCTTTTTTAACATTTTTCCCTCCTTTCTGGAGACAGTCTCACTATGTACTCAAGAATGGCTAGGAGCACCTACCTGACCCTTCTGCCTTAGACTCATGAATTGTGCTATTACAGGTTTTTACTACCACGACTGGCCTTTTTCTTAAGGTTCTGGGGGTCAAACCCAGAGATCCATGCTACAGTCTACCACCGACCTGCACCTCCCACACCCCAAGTCATCCGTTTTAAAATTCCAGGTAATTCCGGCTCAGGCTGAGCTTTGGAACTGCTGTTGTATAGAGCTTGGAACTGGACGCTGAGCCCTGAGCTCTGGGTTCTGATAGGTAATGCTCAGTGCCTGGAAAACAGTTACTGCGGTACCCAGCTGGCTGAGTAGAATGGAGACCAGCTGGCTGAGTAGAATGGAGACCAGATGTAAGGGCCGCTCTCAGGGTTTCTGCCCGTCGGCATTCTTGAGCCCCTCAGCCACTGTAGTTCTGCACAGAACCATGTGGTGGCGCCAGTACCCCAGGGCTTCAGTTGGATATCCTGAACTGGAGACCCTGGAAGAACTGTCCCCTTCCCCTAGGGTCCACATCCCACTGGGAACCAAGGTTTGGCGATCACTGGCATGTCCTTTACCAGGGAGAAAAGGTGATACCAGAAAAATGTACCAGCCAAAAGCTGATGCACTCAAATTGGAAGGGGTTAACTCTGGAGGGTCAGGAAGGCAAGCTAGAGAAGACCCCTTGGTCACAGAAGAGTTAAGGGTGCCAGGTCTCTGGGACTTGGAGGTAAATAGCTCAGATGGAGTCTTGCCTCATGCCACCATAACCCTCAGCCTATCCTACTCAACCTGTCTATCCTGGTCCCAAGTATCGCTTCCCCGCCAAGCCCAGGGGTAGTCAGGGCTCTAGGCTGCAAGTTGTCACAGCCTGGCAGTCAGGTAGGCTGGGGATGGGCACTTGAGGCAAAGAGGATGTTTGGATAGAGCTCTTACCAGCTGTCAGCTTCCCGTCTCTTGGGTTGGAGGCTTTCTGCGACCCTGTCCTGCTCTGTGGTTACAGAAGCCCACGATCCTGGCCAGAGGATGAGCCTTCACCCAGTTCTTGGTTCTGGGTGCAGTTCAATTGACCAGGAGAGCCGCCTGGGCACCATTCTCACCTCTGGTTTCAAGCCCAGTTCCAAGAAGACAGGGTAGAGTGGGGACTTGTCCACTTTAGGCTCCCCTGTCCTTCATTTGTCCTGCTTGAGGGAAGATTAAGACCCCAGATCCCAACTGGAGATACTCTTGCCCAGTCTGTTTAAACTTAGCATACTCTGGCTTCTGCAGTAGAAATTGGTCCACACCCCTTGTCTCCGGGGTATCCACCCGACACCCACATGCTCCGAAGAACCACCCTCTCCCTCTTGATTATGCCTTCTTCTTTGAGGACCCCCAGATGTGATTCTGTCCTCTGAGGTTCTGTCTCTGCTCTTAGGATGCTGGGACTAGGCCAGATGTTTTCCCTAAGAAGCCAGCTGTTTTGCCCATCAGAAAGTAGCCCTGGCTCCTCTGCTAAAATCGTTTCTAGGTTGCAGCGTGGCAGCCCTACTGGGCCAGGGCCTGGGAGTGGTTAACTCCTCGGGTCCGGGCAGCTGCATCTGCCTCCCAGCTTTCTGCATTCTCCAGACTTAGCAGAAACTTCTAGAGACCCCGAGAAGACTAAGTATAACTGTCGTCAACTCCCTCAACAACTACCATGCCCCTCTCCACAGAGCTTTGTCCCCAGACGACCCAAGTGAGGTTCAAAGGGATAAATGTTACCAACTGAGAGTAATTATAACAATAGCTATCCTCCTGTTAGCCTTAAAGCCACCAGGAGTTTAATTAAATGCCTTCACAACTCATTTGATGGTTTTTGACAACTTTGTGACACGCGGGAGTATTTACCGAAGAGAAAAGTAGGAAACCCAAGCTGTGAAGTGCCTCAGTCACCAAGAGCTGGTTGGACGCTGCTCAGCGCTGGTGGCTGCAGACCGGCCCTCTGAGCTACTTAAGTTCCCCTGAGCCCTCTTTCCTGGTCTGGGCTGGGGAGCCCCATCTGGGAAATGGGAAAACCAACGAAGAGAGTTAACACCACTAGTCCCAGATGAAGAGCTAGGCCAAGGCACCTTCCAAGTATTTACTAGCGATTCCTCCTCCTGGTGGCTGTGGTCGGCCTGGGCGAGGATCCCAGCCTCCTGGCTGCTCCTGGCTGCTCCTGGCTGCCTGGCTTGGGGTTAGCGGCTCCCTCTCAGCCTTTTTGTCTCCACAGCTGGAAAACGGAGACGAGAATAACTGACCCTGGTTTCACCATGCAGGTGTAATGGTCTGCCCACAACCCAACTGAGAATTGCTGGGAAATGTCCTCTCTTGTCAGTAAGACTACGGACCACAATCAGTAAGGGGCAGAGACACCCTTTTACCATGGGTGCCTCTAGGTTCAGAGTGGAGCTTGTAGGTAGAGCTCTGTCCTTAGTGGCTCAGGAGTCTCCTACACAGGAAAGCAGACTCAAGGTCAAGGTAGTTACCTGGGTAGAGGGGTTCAGCCTGCCTCTGGGTCTCCCAAGGCCTCCTGCTCTAACCTGGTCTGGGGAGAGGGCCAAGGAATAGGGACAAACCCAAGGCTAAAATGGCCCAGAAGGTGACTTGGCTGTGGCTGGGTGGGATATCAGGGTCTGGGAACGACTCCTCAGGATGCAGTGACCCGTGTTCTCCCTCTTTGTCCCCTCCTCCCTGCCCACCATGGGTCAGTTCCCTGGTCCCAGCCTAGACATCTGGAACTGGGGCAGACAAAGGGCTGCGGGAAGGGACAATAACCTTCTGTCCATTTTCCGATGCTGGGCCAGGCCTGGCCAGGGCTGGGGGCCGGAGCCCCGGCGAGGCGGTGCCAGGCCCCCCGCGGGCAGCGGACAATGTTGGCAGTGATGGAGAGGAGGCATTTCAAAGCGTTTTGTTCCTCCTGACCCCCTCCCCTCCACATATCTCGCCCTAGCTGGGGGTGAGGCCCCAGCCCCACCCCCAGCCACCCAGGCCTTGCTCTGGACTGCTTGGGGACTGGCCACATTCTTGACCTCAGGGGAAAAGTTTAGACTCTGTGCGCCCTGGGCAACAATAACAGTGTCACAGACCTGATTTAGGAGCAGCACTTACCATCACAAAGCCTCAGACAAAGGGCTGAGGCTGAGAGCGAGCTGGCCTCAGAGCCTGAGCCACTGCCAGGCTCTGTTCGCAACTCTCCCAGGTTTGCCCAGGCCCTCCTGTGCCAGGCATGGACACACCTGGGGAGGACTTGAGGCAGAGGGATGGAGGAGAGACAGTATAACTAGGAATGAAGCAGTTTTGAGAATCACTTCTTACTCTCCCAGAAAACGTTTAGTAACCCTGAATAGGTCCTTCCCCACTCCAGGCCTCAGTTTCCCCATCTGTAATAAAGATGCCAAATGAACAACACCGTTGAAAACAGGAGGCTTTCCTTGTGGCAGGAGGGTTTCATTATGGCGATGGCAAGGTTGGGGAGGGACACCTGGAGGAGCTCCATCTACTGAAGACGCTGAGGCTACACAAGGCACTGAGCTGTAAGAGTCGGAGATCAGCCTGCGCAACCCAGTGAGATTCAATCTGCAAAGACATCGGTGGTGGAGAGAGGAGGCTTGCCCCTGCTCCACTCTGGCAATCCCCAGGTGCCAGTCACCAGCTTACTAAGTCCTTCCTGGATTCCACCCCCTCTGATCGTTTGAACCCCAGTCAACCTCACAAAACGGTGTCTCATGAACCCTGCTCTAAAGTTGACCAGCTGAGAATGAAAGACGTGGAGTGACCTGCCCAGGGCCAGGCTGCTGCGCCCCTGACTTCCCCAGTGGGAAGGAGTGAGGAGGCAGCTGGCTTCTGCTGAGCTAGGGTGGAAGGGCCTCCCCTCCCAACAGAAGGCCATGAATAAATAAATATTTGATTATCCCCAGGGGGAATTCCACCCTCAGAGCAGGTGCCTTTAAAATCTGGATTGATTCTTGTCTGTGAGCAGAAGTTGGCCTGAGTGGACACCCAGATGCAGGGGACTGGACACAATGACACACACACACACACCCCACTTCCCTTTACCCCTGTGGAGGCCAGGAAATAAAGGCAACACAAAAGGTCACTTAAAGATTTGTGGCACCAGCTTTAGGCTGTGGGTCTGTGTAGTGCCCATTGGGTGACCTTCAATGATGGTCTCAGAACAGTGCCTTGAAGCAGTAGAGGGAACCCTTCAGACCAGGACCAAGTGCCAGCACATCGTATCTCACACAGGGCACCACTGGGACATCATGACATGCCATTAGCTTCCCTTTCCATAAAGTGGTTGGTTCTTGAATACAACATGAGGGGTTATGGCTGGACACCAAGAGCAAAGGGGTCCCTATACTCTAGGATCTGTTCCGGGAAAAACTCTGAAAACTGCAGTGACCCCGACAGCAGCAGGGGTTGTCTGGACCCTGACAGCAAGGAAGGAGACCCGAAGAGTGGTCCAGACTCCACTTCTCCTACCCCGTGCCTGACTCCATCCAAAGGAACTGAGCTACACAGGTGGCAGAGTGACGGCAACACTGACCTCCTCCAGACCGCCTTCAACCCCAGGACTGCCATTCACCTGGAATGAACAGCTACCCATTTCTGAACTCATTCTGCAAGTTATTCATGGACAGGGTCTGATGCGGCCAGTTTAGCCTTAAGCACTACTGTATATAGCCAAGGCTGGCCTTGAACTCTTGATTCCATTACAGCGTGGACCACCATCTCTCAACTACTTTTAGAATGTTAAATGTGAGTCTGTTATTATGCCAGTCAAACAAAAGAGTGGGCTGGTGTGGCAGTGTACCCCTTTATCCCAGTAAATAAGTACTGGGAAGTAGAGGTGAATGGATTTCTCTAAGTTCCAAACCAGCTTGTATTGGTATACATAGCAAACTCTAGGCAAGCTAAGTTCACGTTGTAAGATCCTGTCACAAAAAGTGGCAGGTACCTGAGGCTAAGTTTGAGGCTAGCTAGCATAGGAAACATGGTGATCCTGCCTTAAAAAAAAAAAAAAAAAAAAAAGGTTGGCTTGGAATCTGGGGTCCCCCATCCCACCTTCATCACTTCTCTCCACTTCATTCCCAGAATGAAACTTCTCCAACTATCATCCTGTCCCTTTGACACCTCTCCCCAAACCACCACAGACACACCAGTCACAGACAGTGGGGAACCATCCAAACAGAAAATGCCACAGCTCTTGAAGACACAGAAAGTTTATGGAGGCCTTAAGGAGCCTAGGAACGACAGCCTTCCCCTCCCTGCCTGGCTTCAGAAAAGAGGAGCACTCACCAGGCAGAGCATCTTGGGGTCCCCCTCAGCCCGGAGGTAGATGGCACCGCTGGGTGCTTAGGTACAAGAGGACTGCCCGCTCAGCTCTTATTTTGGAGGGTTGGCCAGGCAGCCCATCCCAGGCCCAGACTTTCCTGGCATCTCCAGGCAGGAAGGGCACTGCCTGGGGGTTGGGAAGAGCAGGAAAAGATTATAAGCAAAGGTGTCTCCCAGAGGGCTTGATCCCATTCAGCTCACTGTCCTCTGGACATTGTGGGTTGAGGGTCTGAGAAGCGAGGGGTCGAAGAGCCAGCAGGGGCAAATAGAGAGGTTGATCTGACCCAGACCCCTGCCCCACCTCCACCCCAAGGCCACGGAGGCCCATATGGAGGTGTTTGCTTTTCCTGTCTCCACACTAGTTCCATTCAGAGTGGCCCATCCCACCCCAGGCCAGCAGCCAAGGACCCAGTGCACCAGTGGGCGAGATCACCGACCAGCCTCCCTTCTATCCTTGTTGCATGAACACGACACAGTAGCCACCAGGGCCTCCCGGTTTTATGGGGCACTGAAAAGAGAAGAGAGGAAAAAAAGACCAGATAGAGGAGGGTGAAGGAAAATATGGGAACGAGGTTGAAAAAGAAGAGGAACACGCAGACATGACAGGAAATAGACGCTCTGAGGAGTTCCTGGGCATAGGGAGGCAGAATGAGGAGCCACTGGGCAGAGGGCTGGGTCAGGAGCAGGGAGGCTGGTCCAGAACCTCACTGCTTTGCTTTGTGCTAAGACCCTGAAGCTGGGATACTCACTTGAAAATGAGCATCCTCCTCATCCCTGGGCCAGGGGTCCAGGAGGGGTTGAGACCTGGTCTGGGGCCAGGGGAAAGAGGGTGAAAGTTTCCCCCAGTCAGAAGGCCATGGGGGAGGTATCTCAAGGGGTCCTGCTCTTTGCTCTCTTCTGACTGTCACATTGGTACATAAAGGGGGTAGAAAGGTCAGGCGTGCCCTTTCAGGCCTGTGAGAAAAATTCTGCCCATTTCCCTAATCCATATTTATTGGTGTGAGACACTGGGGTGGGAGAAAGTCCCTGCCCCCACCCACCCACTGCCCCAGCCAGGCCAGGTTAGCACTAAGAACAGGCTCCATGTCACCCAAATCCTACTCTTTGTCTCCAGATTGGCTCCAGAGCCCACCCCTCATTCCCCCTTGGGGTTGCCAAGCAACCATGGAAGGGTAGCTGAGACATTTTCTTTATTACAAGCAAAGGCAAGACAGAGTTGTGGTCCCAGAGGGGGGTATAGGGTGCTGAGGAAGAAGGCACCCTGTGCTCTGGAGGGTCCAGAGGTTGTCCCCTATGCTCTGAGCATTGGCAGCAGGGAGACTGGGTCCCAGAGTCGATCTGAAGCGGAAGACATCACCGAGTGGTGGGAGGTGGGAAGGCTGGAAGACATTATTCCAGACTGGATAGTGCTACATGGCAAGGCACTTCCAAGAGGCTCACGGCTTCCTGAGACCACCAGCTGTGCTATCTGTATTAAGTCATTTTCTTTCTTTGGTCCTGGGTTTTCTCCTGAACAAAATGGGGTAGTGTTGTATATTATCTCATTTAGTTCTCATAGAGATACAATGAGACACCACCGTTTTCTCCCTCTTCCACTAATTGAGAAACAGAAGCTCAAAGATGTGGTGACATGTGCCCAGCAGATAAGGCTAAGGTGCACTTCCTTAGCCCCGACCAATTTTACTGAGATGTGATTTGATTTACAGGTCATACAATTTGCTTTCCCAGAGTGTGAATTTCAACATTTGTATATTTGAGTCCTGTACCTACAACCACATCTTATTTTAGTCTTACATCACTCTAAAAAGAACTCCCTCCCTTCCCCCACACCCAAGGTGAGCATATAGTACAGTGATAGAATTAGGAATTAGCATTCCACCTCTGTGACCTTAGATGATGTAATCCCTAGCATCTCTCTCTCTCTCTCTCTCTCTCTCTCTCTCTCACACACACACACACACACACACACACACACACACACACGCAGTTATAAAGCAGGGCATGGTGGCCCCTATGTAATCCCAGCATTAGAGAGAATGAGGCAAGGGGATTGGTATTGAGTCTGAGGTTAGCTTCAGCTATATAATGAGTTCCAGGCCAGCCTTGGCTACAAAGTGAGACCTTGCCCTATGAAAGAAAGGAAGAAAGACAGAGAGGAGGAAGGGAGAGGAGGGAAGCAGACAGGCAGGTGTTCTAGAGGTCAGCCAGTCCCACACCCATTACACATAGCTCCCATTATCTTCCAGCTTCACCTACCTCCAGCCTCACCGCCACCAACCTACTCTGTCTCTCTATGGGTTTGTTTGTTGTAGATATTTCCCATACATGCAATCAGACAACATATCTCAGTCTGAGTAACCTCCCACAGCTTCTACCTCCAGAGGGGCTCAGTCACAGAGGTGCTCGGACAGGTAGAACAGTTGAGAATGTGGCCGCTGCAGCCTGACAGCTCAACAACCTTGATCCACCACCCAGAAGGTCTATGCCTAGGGACAAGGGGCTTACTCTCCGTAAAATGGAGACACAGCCTTTCTCTCCCAGGGATGTATCAGCGCATGACAGATGTCTAGCCAGGTGCCCGCTGCTCAGTACACCATAACTCATGGATTACAGGGGTCTATGCAATGCTTGTTTAGTCCTGACCTAGGCACCTATTGAGGGTGAAATGCTGGGGACGGAGTGGTGAACAGGACACGATCCTGTCCACACAAGCCATCCATTCTAGTGCAGAGACAGACAAGACAGCTTATAAATAGGACACATACAGAGTGAGATAGTTCAGGCAAGACAACAGCACAGTGTGATGGAGCAAGCCGGCTGGTCGGATGGTGACAGGTTCACTTCTGTGCTGCACACGCTAGGCAGGCGCTCTGCTGGGACAATCCTGTCATGTGTTCAAACTTGGGTTCCTTCTGTCCTGGCCCCTTGAGTAGCTGGGATTGCAGGTGTGCAGCCCATGTCTGGCTATCTCAGTGTCCACTTCGAACTGAAAGGCTTGCTTCCACCTAACCCCTCCCACCCCCACACACAAGGGAGGGGTATCTGCTGCAAACATGAGATGCAGGGTGAAGGGCTCGCAGATCCTGACTAGGGACTGGGGACTTAGCATCAGCGTCTATGACTTCATGTGCTGGGTTGTCAATTAATTTCTAAAAATAGGCCACCTGGCCACCATCCACCATGTAAGAGTACCAACCACTACTGCTTTTCCCCGGCCCCAGAACAGGTCTCAACACTTCCTGAACCCCTAGACTTGCCTATGAAGCTGAACATGGAGACCTTCCGAACTCAATGGACTCCCTATTTGACCCCAGAACCTCAGCTGATGGGCTGCATACATTTACATCCTTTTCACTGTCTATTTATATTTAATTTTATTACACTTATTTATTCCGTGTGGCTGGGTGGGGATACACATGCCGTGGCAGATGCAGGTGAGCAGGCAGCTCCTAGGAGTCAGTTCTCTCCTGCCCACTGCATGGATCCTGGGGATCAAACTCAAGAGATCAGTCTTGGCAACAAACACCTTTACCCACTGAGTCATTGCCCATTTATTTCCTGGTTTTTAAAAAGCTCAGTGCTGAGGTTCAAAACCAGGGCCTTGGAAAAGTTAGGTAAATGCCAAATGCTCCATTAATGTTCTCTGCTATAGTCCCTGTCCTTGTATTTTTGTGTTTTCTTTTTTTATGATTTGTTTTATTGGAGTTAGAGAGATGGTCCAGCAGTCAAGAGCACTGACTGTTCTTCCAGGGGACCCGGGTTCAATTTCCAGCACTCACATGGCAGCTCATAACTGTCTGTAACTCCAGTTCCAGGGGATCTGACACCTTCACACATACATGCAGGCAAAACACCAATGCATATAAAATAAAAATAAATTATTTTTTAAAAGATGTGTTTTATTTATTGTTTTTTCGAGAAAGGGTTTCTCTGTCCTGGAACTCACTCTGTAGTCCAGGTTGGCAACAACTCACAGAGATACACTTGCCTCTGCCTCCCAAGTGTACCACCACAGCCTGGTTTCGTGTGTGTGTGTGTGTGTGTGTGCCCGCGCGTGCGTGCACATGCACTTGAGGCGATCAGAAGAGGGACTAGGATTTCCTGGAGCTGAAATTACCAGTGACCATGAGCTGCCCAATGTGGGTGCTGGGAACTAGACTCTGGTCTTCTGCAAGAGCAGGAAGCACTATTAACCACTGAGCTAGCCCTCCAGTGCCCCTCCTTTTGCAAAGATTTATCTTTATTACGTTTGTGTATGAAAGTGTGTGTGTGCATGTACCAGTTGTGGTCCACCTGAAATGGGTGCTGGGGATCAAACTGAGGTTCTCTGAAAAAGCAGTATGTGCTCTGTTTTTCTGGGGTTTCTCCGTGTAGCCCTGGCTCACCTGGAACTCCTGGCTCTGTAAACTACGCTGGTCTTGAACTCACAGAGATCTGTCTGCCTCTGCCTCCCAACTGCTGGTTAATGGTGGGCTGCCACCACTGCCCAGCTGCGGTAAATGCTCGTAACTCCTGTCCTGGTTTGTTTCCCCCTTCCCCAACTCCACCCCAAACAGGGTTTCTCTGTGTAACAGCCCTGGCTGTCCAGGAACTCACTCTGTAATCAGGCTGGCCTCAAACTCACAGAGATCCACCTGCTGGGACTAAAGGTGCGCACTGCCAGGCTTGGCTTTGAATTTTTGTTTTGTTTTTTGAGACAGGGTTTCTCTGTGTAGCCCTGGCGGTCCTGAAACTTGCCCTGTAGACTAGGCTGGACTTGAACTCACAAGAGACTCACCTGCTTCTGCTGAGATCAAAAGTATGCACCACCACTCCTGTCTTGGTTTTCAATTCTTAATCTTGTCTCAGCTTCCCAAGTTCTAGTATTACAGGCATGTGCCACCACACCTGATTTTTGCCCATTCTTTATAGATCTTTTACCCGATTGTCTTAAACTCACTTCCTTGTTCATCCATCTACCCATTCATTTAATTATTGCACTAATAAAGCATTCATTCATGCACTTATCTGTCATTCATTCAACAGATGTTTCCTGAGCATGTCCTTTGTGCTGGGCAGTGTTTGGTCAAATCCTTGGTAAAATGCCAGTTCTGGTGGGAAGTGCACACACTGGGCATAGACATCTCTGCTGTTTTCCTTCTGAGAGCATCTTTTCTTTCTTTTCGTTTTTGTTTTTGGAGTGTGTGTTTTGTTTGTTTTTCAAGACAGGGTTTCCCTGTGTAACAACCCTAGCTGTCTTGGAACTCACTTTACCCACCAGGCTGGCCTTGAACTCACAGAAATCTGCCTACCTCTGCCTCCTAAGCACTAGGAATGGAGACCTGGCTTTCATAAACCCTCGATGAGTTGAATGCACACAGAAACCCAAACCTGTATGTGTAGTTGCATGCACACATGTTGGAGGTGTGATAAAGCCTTCCTCATTGGAAGCAGGTGCCACGTGTTTGAATATACTCAATACCACAGAGAGCACGTATAAGGAGCCCACAGGTCATAACCATGCTTCAGTTCCGAAGAGTTCACCCGCCCACGGTAAGGCTGCTTCTCCCAAAAGTTTTCTCATATCTTCCTGTTGGAATGAATCTCTGCCTTCTATAATCTCAGAGAACTCTGCCAACACTTGGGAGTGTTTCCACCTGGGTCGGCTAGACAGCAACACTGTTATCTCTCTCCTCCCTTAGCTGTCAACGACCACACTAGGTGCCCACTAACCCAGTCAGTGCAGACTGCCACGAACTTAGCAGACCCTACTCTGTTCCCCCAGCTTTCACCAGCAGACCACAGGCAGCTTAACTGGTCAGGATCAGATCATTCAACTTCTCCTCCCCCCTCCCCACTTCATCCCCAGCAAATCTAACATGCAAACAAATGTGCACTTGGCTGTTGGTTGAGGGTCTTTCAAGATCCCCGTGGTGTGGCGTTTAGGGTAAAGCCACAGATCCTTCCAAGGCTCCACCAGGCTTGGCAGGGTGGGTCATCTGAAACCTTCTGAGCTCTGACACTGGGAATCCCGTCGCTACTCAACCTGCCATGATCTTTCCTGCTTGCGGGCTTCAAAGCTGCTGGAACTGCCCCTGCAGTGTCTGTCCATCTTTACCCACCCCATCCTCAACTTACTTTCTCTGAACTTCATTCTCTACAGCCTGCCTCGGCTATACACTGGGTCACCTCCTTTAGGAACGCCTGTCCTTTGCTGTCTGACTACCATGAGGTAGGCTTTACATGAATGTGCAATGACCAGAGGCAGGATTTTCTCTGGCTCCTCGTTCCCTGAGGGCTGTGCAGGAGCACTTGCTCAAGGCTCTTGACCTGATCCCTAGGACTACAAACCAAACCAAACCAGTAGTGCTGTGGGAAGAGGAGGCAGAAGGGAACGCCTTTCCCTACCTTCCACCCCTGAAGCTTCATGCCCAATCCACCCAGGCTGTGTTCACACCAGACCGCGGTGAACAATAATTTAAGCAGTGTCTGCTAGAAACCACTGCTTTGAGCACACTTGTGTCTGTCTTCTGCACCTATCTGCTAAGGAAGAAAAGACTAGGAAACTGTTTGCAATAGGTTGGACAACCTTAGGTTCCAACTCCGCTTCCATCACCTCCCAGCAGGCTCCTAGTCATAAGTGTTTCTTTATCTGTAAAATAGAGTTGATCATATAGCTACTTTCCATGATATTGCCAGAACCCAGCAAGATGCTGCTGCCTTCCTTTATCACTCATTCATTATCTGGGCTGGAGTTTTGCTTACTACCTTGGTTGGTCTGGGACTCTTTAATTCAGCTGATGCCCCTGAGTAGCAAAGACTACAGGCACTTAGTGCCTGGCACACGGAGTACACTTACTGTCAGCAACCAGAGTTGAGATATTAGCTAACAGGGCTCCGTCTTTTATTAAGCTAACTTTTGTTAAGAACTCCAGAAGTCTGTGTAGGTAACTCAGTCACAGGCTATGCAAACATCTATACACATTTAATAGGTGC